GAGGGCGCGCGGGCGGAGCGGCGGCCGCACGCGGCGGCTTCGGGGCCGGGGGCGCGGGGGTGCGGGCCGCCTTTGTGTGTTTGCACGTGGGGCGCTCGGCGAGGCGCGGGCGGCGGGGCGGCTCTGGCCGGCGGTGCAGCGCGCCCCGGGAACGAGCTCCCCGGCCGCCCCTCGTTCGTCTCCTCACCTTTCCTCGCTGCAGGTGGAGAAGGACGGCGGGACCCGACGCGCGCCGGGCCCTCCATGTTAGCAGTGCGCTCCAAGTAGGCGCTTCGCCCTCCTGGTGTCCTGGAGAAGGCGCGGGCGACTTTTGCCTTCGCTTAGGAAGAGAGGGACGTGAAGCTTGTTTGAGCGGTGTGCTGAAAGCACCTGCGTTTGGGCTGAAGTTTGGCAGACTTAATTTGTACTGAACTGTGCCGCAAAGCTGAACACGAAAGTCAGGGATTCTTTTCTGTAAGGCGGTCAGATGATTTGGAGGATGTCTCGTGTTTCACTCTGAGGTACGCAGGGCTCAGATAAGTTTCAGAGATGACCTTGAGAATACCTGCGTTTGGGGAGTAGTGCCAGTCAGAGATAAAGGATGCTGGGAGAAGCTTCTAGAGTATGACACTGTTAGGGAGCCCTTGCTGGCTTCCCAGTTCCTGGGAACTGGGCTTGACCTTCGAGCTACCCCTCTTAGACTTTTCAAGCTAACTTTTTTGGTATGTGGCTCCAGGCATAGCTCAAAAATAGGCTGGTTTGACACATGGATGCCCCTTTGGTATTTGGGGTTTGCTTGTAGTCTAGACACCCAGCCAGTTGCTTCTCTCCCCATTTCTCCTGTGTTTCAGTTAGAATCTAGGTGTGGTCTTGGCTGGGAAATAATATCCTAGATGCTTTGCCCTCTTGCACCATACAAATTGAAATCCGTTTTTTCCTGTTTGTTTGGTTACTAGAGAACATTCCTTTCGAGTTTTGGTTGACCAAGTTAGAAATACTGAAAGGGAAGCTGTCTTGGTGGTGGTTTCTTTTGAAGTGAATAGAGAGTCGGTGAAGAAAATGAAAAACCCTGCATGTTATAACCTTGGTTTTCCTTTAGGTGACTCCAGGGACACGTGAAAAGGTACTTTGCAAACATTTTTTTTTTAAGTATTAGACTAGTTACTGCAAGACTTGAGCATTCTAAGGTCTACACATACCAAGTAGAACTATATGATTCTGTTCTTCGAATCAAATGATGTTTGAAGAGACCTTAATGAGTTAAGAAAAAAAGGAAGGCAAGGGCTTCACTGCTTTCTTGTGCTATTTTTGTGATGGTTGGAGATTTTAAAGAGTGTGTGTATCTTTGTACATGAGGCCAGAGAACTACTTGAGAGTTGGCTCTCTCCATCACATGAGTTTGGGGATCCGTTCAGGTAGGTGGTCAGGCTTTGTTGGCTGAGTCATCTTGGCAGCCCTAAACTTGCTTTGCTTGTTGTGAACCCCAGGGTATAGCACCTGTTAGATGAGTGTACCAGTATGCTACCTCCACAGCTATAAGATAACACCCCCACCCCCTCCACACACACAGGGCTTTCTCTGTGTGGCCCTGACTCTTCTACAACTTAATCTTTTATAGACCAGACTGGCCTTGAACTCTTGCCTCTGTCTTCAAGTGCTGTGCCACCACCAGCTGGCTAAAATAAACTTTTAAATGCAAAAATCTTATTTTTTTTAAAGATTTTTTTTAATGTGCATTGGCATTTTGCCTGCGAGTATGTATGGGTGAGGGTGCCAGATTCCCTGGAACTGGAGTACAGACATTTTGTGGGCTGCCATGTGGGTGCTGGGATTTGAACCTGGGTCCTGTGACGGTACCACTCAAGGCTGAGCCATCTCTCCAACCCCAGTGGGAAGGTCTTAAGCGAAATGTCTATGGGCTGAGGACAGTCAATTTTCCATACAGAACCCAAAGCAGCTTCCTTAGAGATATGTCACCTGGGCTGTAGCGTGCTTTGTTTGCTGCTCTTCCTACAGACCTGATGATACAGGATCCCAGGATAGAGCCACCTGAAACTCAAGCTTCAGGGCATCCAGAGCCCTCTCCTGGCCTTTTTGGGCACCTTCAAACTTGCACCAGAGTTGATACACATACACATAATTACAAATAAAATCTTTTTAGGGTTTGAGCCATCTCCCCAGCGCCCCAAAACAATTATTTCTAAACATCCTTTTTCCCCCTCTGGAGATGGTAAGACTGATTAACTGGTTTGAAGCACAGTGTAAGTTCAGAATGCCTAGGATTGGGGCCCTTCATTCCAGCACTTAGGCAGAGGCAACAGTCTGGCCAGGGCTACACAGAGAGGCCCTATCTCAGACAAAAGAAGAAAAGAGTGCCTAGGATGGGAAGCTGCAATAACATTTACTGCAACCCTACTGCACAGGGTTGAAAACTGAAATGCGGGCAGAAAGGGGCCACCGGAGCAGTCCTCAGGGCTGGGAAGTAGACCTCTTACAGAACACAGCACTAAAGCTTGGCTCAGTTACCTTGCCCAGAGAAACAGTAAATGCTGAATGGAAAGAGTGGGTGTTTCACCCTTCCCCCACCATCAGAAACCAGTTCTGGGAAGACGAAGCCCTCAACTTCTGTTTGTCGTTCCCGATCTGATTCAGCCATTTTACACCAAAAAGTCCGGTGAAGACCTAGTTAGGAAATGCCACTACTTTGTTCCTGGTTGCTCTGCAGCGCTGCCCTGAGAGCCCTGCACTTTTAAGTTTCTGCAGATTTAAGTAGGAAATTCATGGTTGTCTTTCCAGTTCTCAATTTTCTTTTCTTTTAAATTGTTTCTGCAACGAAGAATTCTAGTATTGTAGGAATAATCTAAAGATCTAGTCCAAAAAAGAAAGGCATTTGTTTCCAAGGTGAGAAAGCTTTCTTTTGCCACCAGAAACACAAAGGTCATAGGTAGTTTCTATTACAGATATATTTTGTTCTATTACAAATTTGAAACCTGAGCTAAAATAATTCCTTTCTGGTTGTGTATTTTGTTTTCATCTGTTATAAGTTGATTGGGTTTGACATTTTTATTTGGTTAATGTTAACGATTGCTGGATAGAAATAGTTCTAATTGTGTGGCTCATTTCTTTTAATTGCTCCCTCTTGAAATAAGAATGAAATATTTTTCTGCTGTTTATTATGAAAATTGTTATTGGTAATTTTTTTGGCTTTCATTTTCTGGAAATCTTTTTATTACATTACAGAAGCCCACAGATTAAATATTAAGGAAAAAACTACTTTTGAAAACTTACTTTTCTTTTCACTTATTTCATATGTGTAAGTGTTTTACCTGCATATATGAATGTGCACCAGGTGTATCTGCAGAGGCCAGAAGATGATGTCCGCTAGAATCGGACTTAATAGATGGTTGTGAGCTGACATGTGGAATGTCAGCTAGGAATTGAACCTGGGTCCTCTGGAAGAGCAACAAGTGCTTTAAACTGTCATGTCTGCAGTTGTCACATATATATGTATATATATGTGTGTATATATATTTAATTACTATATTCTTTCTCCAATTATTATATTCTTTCTGCCTGCCCTTTACGTTCATCTTTGCTATCCTGCTTTGTTGGTAGTAAGCAGATGTCCATTTCTCTGTGTAGAATTGGTACCTGGCTGCAATGACTTCTTGTCCTGCCAGGGTTAACTTATTGTTGTTGTTTTTTGTTTATCGAGACAGGGTTTCTCTGCAGAGTTCTGGCTGTTCTGAAACTTGCTCTGTAGACCAGGCTGGACTCAAACTCAGATCAACCTGCCTCTGTATCCTGAGTGCTGGGATTAAAGGCGAGTGCCACAGCAACCAGCCAAGGGTTACCTCAGTAAAGATGGGAGCGAAATCTTGTTTTTTAGGTATTTTAGTAACTGAACATTGTGGCTCAGGCCTGTAATCCAGCACCTGGAGAGGTACAGGCAGGAGAAACAGGAGTTTGAGGACATTTCAGTTTTGTGGTGAGTTCAGGGCCTCCTGGACTTGTGCCTCTCTCAGAAGAATAAAACTGAGTTGATTGGGGAAGGCAGAGAGAGGCAAATCTTG